AGCCTACTCACTTGCTTCATCTCTAAACCTGCCAAGAGCAGTGCATGCTGTATAACAGCCATTTTCAAAGATACATTAAACTTTGGGTTCACTTTTCATTAGACAAATGTTAGATTCTTATTCTTTTGGAAATTCTGCTACAGTTAGTTGTATTTAGAAAAGTTTACATCTGAAAATTATTCATCAGCTGACACGTTGTTAAATTACTGAGTTTTACAATAACTAGTTTGGGTATTCAAACTATTCTGTGTCAAAAACACGCGGAACAACTGATGTCAGTAAACGGAAGCACTGTGTCTCCATGTGGTCAGACAAATCCAGAGATGTTAGAGCAACGTCTCCACAAGGAAATTGCACAGCGCATACATGTGCTATCTGCCCTCTCCCAGACAAGGCTGCTCAGGGCGGCTCTCCAGCTGATGACTGCAGCATGGCTTCATCCCTCCTTCAATCCACTTCCATCCCTCCCCTGTCTTCAGAAACATCTGCACTGTCTCCACACACTCCCTCATCTCGCCCTCCTCAGGCCTTTCTCTATGCAGTGCCAAGTCACCTTCCACCAAAAGGAATCAAATCATGTCAATTCCATAACTTACATTCCACACTGATCATATAATCCAAATGTCATACACCGCTGAAAACGACACACATATTGCTTTCTATCCTATCCGCAAGCAGTGTCCACATTGTCTTCAAGGTTCTGGCCACTGGCCTTGTCCTCTGCTCTTAGATTCACTGTTCTCCATGGGGGCAAGCACGCCCACAACATGGTTTGTGCACAGCCTTGCTTCTTTTTGTCATTCAGGACTCAGATCACATGCTAACTTCTGAAACCTTTGAGGGGTAACATCACGTACAACAATGCCCATCTCAACTATTTCCTATCCTCTTTATGATATTTAAAACAGAAACAATACATGAAATTGCTCTGATTACTGATTTCTTCTGCTTACTCACAGTTTACCTATCTAACACGATATACAAGGACCCCTGCTAGTCTTCTCAGTGCAGGAACCCGGTACTCAAAAAAGAGGCCAGTATGTGAATATCTGGATAAATATATATGAAGGAATTGATGCGTATTTGACATGCCATGTAACCCACTGGTATTTAAGGGAGTAGCAAGAGAATACGGTATGGAATTAAGCAGTCTGTGACTCCATATCCTAGAGGACAGAATATCAAACCCACTAGCAATACGTTTTACCATGGACAGCCACCAGAAAGAAGTGGCTATGCCACACCCCACTTCCCAGGGTTTGATTCAGTGTCTGTTGTGGACCCAGATATCTACCATTTTAATAAGGACTCCCTGCTAATGTGATGCAGTAATGCATGGCACATTCGGGGAAATGGTCTGAAGGGGATGGCGTCTATTTCATTCCTGGTCATGTAAAGGGACCCATGCAGGGTTCTGTCATCTGGGTTGTCTATGAATACCATTGTTCCACAGTTTACTGCTATTGCTACTACCTGCTCAACAGGATGTGTTCTTACAAGGCATCACAGATCCCCTGCTGGTCACACGGAAGGGAAGAGAAAAGGAAATGACTCACTTGGTGAGTCCCACATGATCTTGTCACTCTTGCTAGGTAACAGGCTGACAAGACCACACCACACTTGGTTCTTCTCCAGGAGCTGGTTCTGCATGGAGAGTTCACAGTTTTCTCCCCTGTTCTACTAGAAGGCAGAGAAAGGGGAGAGAAAGCTCATGGAGAGGGGAGGAAGGCAGATGAGAATGCTCATGCACTCTACTGTACTGAACATAGGGATGGAGTAGTCTGTCTGCATCCAGTCAAGTCAAAGATGTGCAGTGACATTTTCCTCTTCTTTGTTCATCTCACAGATCCTTCCTATATACACCCATATACACATCTCTCTCTCTCTCTCTCTCTCTCTCTCTCTCTCTCTCTCTCTCTCTCTCTCTCTCTCACACACACACACACACACACACACGTACACACACACCAGTGACACTTACGACTCTCACATATTGGAAACAAGGGCATATGTCAGCTTCTTGTTTACCTTCTGCGTGTTCTCTCTGCCTTCCTGTTGTTCTTTTCATAGAAGAGAGCTGACATTGACAGAAAGAGGACACAAAATGTCACTGACAACTAGCATTTGCTGGTGATTACTGTCTTCTCAGGGGTGGTCAGATAATCCAGAATTCTAGGCAGATAAATGAAGACCAGGTCCACTTGAATGTGTGTCCTCGCATGGGCACGTTATGGGATAATTTAAGCATCACAATATATAATGATGATAAAGGAGTACTCCTTTAAAAAAATGGGTGTTTCTGAGTAGACACAAATGCATGAGTAAATACATTAATAATGAAAAGAAAAAAAGGAAACTTTACTCAAAGACAAGCAATGCTTTTAGACTAGTAACTGCACAGGGAAGTAGGTATCAGAGCAACACTTAGCAGGTGTCATGGTAATAATCCATATGGCAAGAACCATCCATAAAACACCCCCTCTGTACACAGTCCACAGCAGACACTGCTAAAATCTGCGTGACTGATGGGAAAATAAGATGGAAACAGATGAGTAATAACCTTGTTCTTTTTGTGTTGGGAAAAATAATATTAGATATTTTGAAAATAATTACCTAAGTATTCTTCATAATACAAACCTTTCTGGAGTTACACATACATACCTAACTGCTCACATGTATCCCCTTTTTTCTCTCCACTGTGATCTCAGCACCTCCCTGATGGAGCTGGCTGGGAGGTAAATGACTATCTCTATGATCCCAAAGATTCCATTTGGGCAAACATTTGACCTGGGGCTGCCTTAGAAAATTTCCCCCAAACTGGGTGTTGGACATTTGTTTCTTTTCTCTTAATTCACTTGCAACTTCAAAATACTGAAATTGAAACAAAAGCAAATATATGTTATCAAAGACATTTTCATCATAGAGAAAGAAACCTAACATTTCAACCTAAAAGAGAGCTTCTGTTAAAATCTACCACAGACAGTTGACCACAGTGAAATATCTGGAAGCTGTAATTTAAAATCCCTGTCACTGGAGATGGCTTCAGGAAATATGAAATAATTAGGAAAACTCTGCCCGCTTCTCTGTAGTGCCTAGACACTGAATGGGACAAATCATTGTTGAGAGAGAGTAAAGATGTAGAGATTCGTCCACTGTGGTGATATTTTGTTTCTTCCATGACAATAAAGCTTGCCTGAGGATCAGTGTGTGCAGATATCCACTAGTTAGCCATAGAGGACAGGCAGTGTTGGCACTCACCTCTCCCAACACTCAGGAGATACAGGCAAATGGATCTCTGCGAGTTCAAGACTACCCTGGGTTACACTAGATTGATCCAGTCTACAACAGAAAGAGAGTCAGGCAGTGGTGGCTCACACTTTTCGTTCCAGTGTTTGTTGAAGAGAGGAATATAAGGTGGGGCGAGGCAGGAGCTCCAGGAAATCAGTCTGAGGTCTTGTAGAGACAGGATGCTCCATTTGGTGTGACAATTTCACAGAGGAAAGAACTGGAAGCTGGCTGCTTTGCTGTTTTGATCTTATAGATTCAACCTCCTGGTATCTGACTCCAGATTTTATTATTAAGACTACTTAGAATTCATGCTACAATCATCTTCATGCAATGGAAGATACAGGTGTCTGTTCTCCTCATACAGACCTATAGATCCAGTACAAAACCAACAGAACTCTAACAGACTTTTCATAAACCAATGGGCTTATCCTGAAACTCATAGGAATATGATGAACCCCAGCTTGAAAACACCTTGAAAAGGGACAAACTTCGAGGATGAACACATGATTTTCAGACTGCTTATAAACCTAGAGAAATGTAGACAGCCTGCCTGATTGGTAATGACAATAAGACAGAAAAGAATATGAAGGGACAGAAGATTCACACATTTGTGAGGGGACACCTTTAGCAAAGACACAAAGACACTTCAGTGAAGCAGGCATATGCTCTTCACCGAATTTTTCTGGGACTCCCTGTAGTGGTAGGGAGGTACAGCCCAGCACCGTGACCAGCAGCCTGAGGATGACCATGTCCCTTAGATGACCTTGACTCTGTTGAAGCTGGATCTATGATTATGCTGCAGAAAATCCAGGATGAAGCAAAGGTTGTGAGCTTATTAATGCTTTGGACAGAAGCTCACATAGAATAAGAATGGCTCCTGCATGACGGCCTGAGTGAGGACTAGAGAGAGACTTGAGATTAGGTGTCATTGCAAAAGGTGTGTGAGGAGGGCAGGAGAGTGAGAAATGTGAAGATTTTCATGGCTCTCAATGTTACATTGTTTTAAAATTACATGTAAGAATACTTTGAGTCTTTAAATGGGTTCTGTTTTCCCATTAGAAAAAAAATACAATACGTTATTAAAAAGTCAAAAATAAAAAAACAATCTTTTGAAATGTTCTTATTCCTTTTAAAACTTCTTTTAGTAAATTAAATTGTAAGGTTAATATGTGATTCTACAAGCACAATTAATTAATTTATTTTTATTTGTTTAATGTTTTTCCACAGGGAAGTCTGTGCACCACATGAGTGAGTACCTACTGTTCACAGAGGGCACCAGAGTTTGAGATGTCTCGAATCTGGAGTTACAGGGAAGGGAAGGGAAGGGAAGGGAAGGGAAGGGAAGGGAAGGGAAGGGAAGAACAGTGTGAACCATCGGGTAGGTGCTGGGTATCAATTCTGGATCCTCTGGAAGACATCCAGTAATATAAAAGAATGAACCATATCTCCAGACTCTAGTTTATTTGTTTTTATTTTTAAACTTACTTTGAGATGTCTTTAGGAATAGTTGCATCATATCTGCAGGTAATTTTGGCTCTGTCAGTTGGGTTGAGGTTTCTTGAATGTCCTAAAAATGTAAAAATGATCGCAGGATGAGGGCCTATTATTCCCTCTCATATCACCTTCAATGCCCTGTCTTTCTGTCTTATTTTGGGAGAAGCAGACATCCTCATGCACACATATAAGTATAGACAAGTTGTTTATCTCAGGATAAAAAAGTCAACCCAAAACAAGCATATGATCTACACAGGACTAGAGAGACATCTCCAAGGTTAAGAGTGCCTTTGGCTATTGCAGAGGACCTGACTTCAGTTACCAGCACCCATATGGTGGCCAACAGATGCCTGTAACTCCAGAGCCAGGGGAACCGACAGTCTTTTCTGGTCTCAGTGGGCATCTGCACTCAAACGTGCATACGGCACACACAGACATACAGGCAGACACTCAGTAAATAGTGAAAAGAAACCTAAAAGATAATTGATCAAGAATACAACCTAGGGCCTGGAGAGATGGCTCAGTGTTTAAGAGCACTGCCTTCTCTTCCAAAGGTTCAATTCCCGGCAAGCACATGGTGGGTCACAACCATTTGTAAAGAGGTCTGGTGCCCTCTTCTAGCCTGCAGACATACACACAGAATATTGTATACATAAATAAATAAATAAATGAATTTTTTTAAAAAAAGAATACAACCTAAACATGAATCGTGTAGCAGAAAATGAATGAATTACAGACAAACTTCTTAGATACAACAAACCCCCTTTCATTAAATGAAGAACTGGATTGTTAAGAACTCCATAAAGTGAGAAAATGTCTATTCATATAAATATATGTTAGAAACATATTTTTCTTACCTGGGAAGATGAATGTTGGAAATTATGTATCAGATGACAGTTTTCTTGTTTCAAGGATACAGAAAACCTCAAAAAGATAAACTAAGAAAATAGACAATTTAGGAAATAAAACTTGGCCAGAAGGGTGAGTAGATGCTCCACTAAGAGAAACATTCAGCATCAATATCCTTAACACTTAGGGAAGAGAGACAGGTGACTCTGAGGGGACTCTCGACACCCCCATAAAATATTCAGGAATAAAGACTTGTCATACAAAGACCTGGCAAGGCTCTGGAGGATGAAACTCTCATACCCACTGCTGGTGGCCAAGGAAAACAGGACAGAGACTTGGAAAAGTATTTCTCAATTTCTTCATATGTTAATTGTCATCTGGCCATCACAACCCCAAATATATAACCTGGAGAAAGAGAACATATTTTCTTTTAAAGACTTATTTATTTCAGTTCACAACAGCTGTATATACAAGACATTGAAATTGAAAACAACCTAAACAACAGGCAACAGGTAAAAGACTCATTTCCCAAAACTGACATGGCAGCTCCCAACTGTAACTCCAGTGCCAAGGGATCCAATGCCCTCTCTTGGCTTCCATGGGCACCAGGCATACATGTGCTCTTCATACCTATATGTAGGCAAACATATATACACATAAAAATAATATATTATAAAATTTTCCGTGTAGCTATACATTGCTACACCATTTAATAGTAAGAATGAACAATTATCATGGGCAACACAATAGATAAATTTAAACATATATTCAAGATGAATGAAGGCCAGATGTCTCTAAACTCTGGTTCTATTCTAATACATTCCAGCATATACAAATTGGTTGATAATGGCAAATTGTTGTATTTTCTTGCAGACAGGGTAGGGCAGTGGTTGGGATTGAGAACCTAACTAACATAGAAATGAAACCTTCTGGATTGGGAAATAATAATGAAACTTGGACCTACCTGAGTATAAGAAAATGTCTATTGTCATTATGGGGCAAAGTAGAAAAATAGTAATTAAGTTTAATATTTGGTGACGTGGACTTCAGAGATGGCTCCATGGTTAAGAGGACTTGCTGCTCTTACAGAAGACCTGAGCTGGGTTCTCAGCACTCACTTGGTGGCCCACAATGGACTGCATATCTGTTTCTAGGGGAAACAACACCCGTTTCTGTCCAAAGCAGCACACCATGATCCTGAAACCAGAGCAAAGGAAACATACACTGATCCTGAGACTAGAATCAATTCACTGCCCCTGGAACCAGAGCCCAACGTTTAAGAAAGGCCAGTGAAATTAACACATTTGCCCCTGAAACCAAAGCCACAGAAACACTCTTCCACTTACCAATTCGGCAAAACAAACTAACCAATATCTCAGCATTAAACCAACCAATCCCTGAGCAGGAAAACCAGCTGATCACTGAGCAGAAAATCAACATGTACCTTTTCAGTTGGGAGCTGCCTTTCCCATTCTTGCAGGGGCAGCCACCTCCTGGATTCTTCCCTCTCAGTGAATCTCTTGAATCAGGCTTGGATGAGACCTTCTTTGCCTAAGAAGAACAGAGAAGCAATGACTTCATCTGGAGACGAGCAGAGGAGAGGGGAGCAGAACTGGAAAAGCTTCTCCTAGCCGAGCAGAGTTCTTACTCTTCTGAGGATCTAAGCAGAGCTGTAACAACTTGGCTAGGGAAACCCTCGCCTATGAGAGCAGAGCTGTTAATTTGGGGAAAACTTTCCCTGAAGCAGGGCTGTGAGCGCCTAAGCTTAAGGTGAATTTGTGGTATTCCTCGGCTCCCGACTATCAGGATCCCTTTCCATCTGAGCAGCAATGCTTACGATATACACACAATTTTTAAAACATTGGGTGCCGGGAAGATATACCCAGGCTGCCTGATACCATTCTGTTCAGGCAGGTGCCAGTCACCAACAAGCCAGCCTGCATTGTCAAAGCCTGGGCTGGCGGGAAGACATTCACAGGTCTACCTGGTACTTCAAGGAAGCCATTATGGTGAGCAAAATGTGTGGTGGAGAAATGGGAGAGAAAGAGCAACAGAACTAGGTATGATAAAAGGTGCAATGTCAGACGTGAAGGTGGTGAGGAACAGGCTGAGGAACAACCTAAATACCTTCAAGCTCAGGAACATGGATTCAAAACAAACTCCTTACCCAGACCCAGAAAAACAAATGTAATATGTACTCTCTCATGAGTGACTTTTAGACATAAAGCAAAGAAAAACCATCTTACTTTCCACAACCCCAGACAACCTAGACAAGAAAGAGGATCCTAAGAGAGACATTCTGGATCTACATAGGAAGGAGAAAAAGACAAGAAGTCCTGAGAAAACTGGGAGTGTGGGGGTCACAGGAGAGGAGGAAGGGGAGACAGTAGGAAGGTAGGGAATTGGAGTTAAATATATAGCTCATTAAAAACAATAAAAACCAAACTTCTTAGATATAACAATCCTCTTTTCATAAGTTGAGAAGTTTGTTGTTAGGACGTCCATCAAGTGTCAGCTGTATGCTCTTCCAAGTAATGGTTGATAAATGAAGACAATGCCCTGATGGGGAAACACAAGTTTGAAAACCATGCACCAGATTCAGGAATCCTTGTATCTAGAATACAGAACATCTCACAGATGTCATTGAGGTAAGTGCTACCTATGGGTTTTCATGTAATAGAATAGAGATGATTCTAAGTGACCAAGAGTATTGATTTCATAATAAATGTAAATGTATATGAATTCATCAAGCAAAGAAAAACACTTTTCAGCTTGCCTGTTAAGATAAAATCTTAAACTACTGACTTTTAAGCACATACCCTTAAATGTTACAGTGAACACTTAGAAATGAACAAAAAATAGTAGCGAATTACAAATAAAAGTTAACCTGAGATAAAAATTCTGATATTTGAGAAATGCTTAAAAGAATATGCAATTAAGAGATATTTTTGAAACCCACAATAATTCTATGGGCTCAACTTTAGTGGCAAAATGTTACTTTTTCAAGAAATATACCAATAATGTGGCACCTTTTTTTGAGGCATGTGATGGCTAATCTTGTTTGTAAATTTGACTACATCTGAAATCAACTAAAACTCAAGCATCTGGGCACTCCTGTGAGAGATTTTCTTGATTGGATAATTTGAGGTGAGAATACCCACCCTAATCTGGGCAACATCTCAATTGGAAGACCACATCAAAGGACTTGTAAGAGGAAAGCTTTTGATTTTGTGTGCTCTCATTCTTATTAGCTAGGTCATCTACCCTGCTTCTGAAGCATCCCTTTGTTGGAGATAGAACCTACATTTTTGGGACTCCAATATTGACTGAAGACCAGTAGCAGGTCCCTAGGAATCCTCTAGATCTTCAGTGCCAAACTAGGACTGCTGAGACATCCAGTCTTGTTGACTGAACAACTACCATTTATGGCTTTTCTGCCAGACAGAGTCATTGTTTGATTAGCTGGACCACAGTCTACCAATTATATTCCTATAGATCAGTGGTTCTTAAACATTGAGTTTGACAACTTTCACGGGGATCAGATAAGACAATAGATAAAAACTGATATTTACATTGTGGTCTATAAAAATAGCAAAATTACAGTTATGAGTAGCAATTACATAATTTTGTAGTTGTAGGTCACCACAATATGACGAACCAGATTAAAGGGTCACAGCATCGGGAAGACTGAGAACCACTGATTTAGTGAGATCTGACTAATGCAACGGATAAGGAAAAGCTCAGGAACAATAGTAGACTGGAACACACTGTTTTCAATGCAGCAATAATCATATGGGAAATAATACATTGAAAAGATTAGTGAAAGCTAATTTCCTTGTAGATCCTATATGTATCTCTATAGACTTCTGAAACTTGATGGAAGACAACCTACCCACTCTCCAGATGAATATGGTAAATTCGCCAACACTAACTCTACATGAGACTGTTAAATTTGTACACAAATGCATGTATGGATTAAAATGTTGCAATTTGCAGGTAGTTCAATTGTTAAAAGAAAGGCACATATAATTGTGCCTGCTTGCTGAGTTCAATTCCCAAGACCCATGAGATGGAAGGAGGGAACCAATCATCACAAACTGGTTTTGGAAGGCACATATGCGTCTAGGCACTGATGCACGGAAAGGCCTCTTTCACAGCAATAGAAACCCTGGCTACGTGGAAAAGAGAAAAATATTCCAAGAATGGTGACCTCTATGCATCCATAAATGTAGGAGAAGACCCAGGTTTTCCAGAAGGTCAGTAAAACAAAGCAGACTCAGTAAGGATAAAAGACCCAAGTTTTCCTCATATATCGAATCTAGAGTTGAATTCGTTTATGAGTGTGGCTGTGTGTGGTCATGCTTGCAGGTCATAAAACTAGAAAATACCATGAGGAGACAAACAGGAGCTTAAAAGAGGATGGAAAAGAGAGGGCAGTGAAATATGTGGGCCATGAAAAAAGAAGATGCAACAACTTGTAGATGAAAGCACAAAGGAAAAAATCTATTTCTAAAACAATGGTGAGTAAACCAGGAAGCGTATGAACCCAAGAAATACATGAAATGATTGATGTAGTCAAACTTCAGAAAAGAAAAACAAAGAAAAAACCTTGAGATCACGTTGAAGGAATTCTGTCTGGTAAACAAAAAGAGAGCTACGTAATTATAATGAGGCATGCAGTCCAAATAGATAAAGCACACAATTATAGTGCTGAATAAAAGCAAATATCAAACCTGAATCTCTATGTCTACAGAAATTATTCTGCTGGATTATCATGGGGATAAAAAACCATCATCAAAAGTAAACGTAAGTGTTTATCAATATGAGACATGCTACTAAAAAGGGCTAAAGGAAGTTTCTAAAGCAAACAAATTGTAGAGGAGACAGAAATATCTGGAAGAAAGAAGAATAATATCAATGCAGATTGTGATTAAATATATATACATTTCCTTTTCCTTTTAATATCTCTCAGTTCTGTGTGATATTTGAAGCAAAAAGTATAAGTGATGTGATGTGGTCCTCTATAGACGTAGAGTAAATTTGTTGCAGATTCTGTTCTTACAAGGGGTGATTGTGAAGGAACTATAATTGTAGTAACATCAAATAGGGTTAGACTTGAAGGCAATCATGATATCTGAGTAGCACTAACACCTACCAGGGAGATCTGGGATAGCTGATGTAACATACTCACTTCACAGTGCCTTGATCCTTCCATCCCGCTGAGATAAGAAGGCATTTATGCACACGGGATTACGTTTAACACAAAGAGCTGCTAATGAACAGAAGACGAGGTATTGTTATCATATTGAATGGTTAAGGATGGGGATAGGGAACTAACTCACCCTTAATGTCCCAATGTTCTGTTCACCTTTCCTGTCTGGCGGACATCACAGCACACTGGGTTCTTCCATACAAACTCCTGCTTCTGGGTTGCAGAGATTAAATCTTCACATTTACACTAGAAGGTAGCATAAGGGAAAAGAAAACTCATGAAATAGAGGAAACCAGGATGAGAAAGCACATAAATCCCAGGGGATGGAATGACGGTGCCTTGTCTGTGCACATGACACCAATAGAAGGTAACAATGATGTTTTTCTTCCTCCTAGGTCATCACACCACCCTGGATACACACAGTGATACCTGTGACTGCAGATACATACTGGGAATGTGAGCTTGTACCTCTGCCATTCCCGTGGCAAGAACTCCCCCTCTCTGTGTGCACTCAGGCCCCTACTTTCATGTCACAGCCTTCCATGGGCAGCTTGAAGGAGGCAAGAGAAATCAGCCAACCACATAAATACACAGGTTTTGTTTTCTCTCCATTCAGGCCCTGAAAATGAATCATTGAGGTGGGCATCATTACTTCCTTTCCATACAGAGGCTCAGAGCATGCAATGCTAAGACCCAGAAAATTCTCCATAGGCAAAAGATGAACACTGATGCCATATAAATGGATTCCTCTGGGCAATACTGGGACAAATGCAGCATGGAAATAGAGAACAGGAATAGAGAGGAAAACAGTTTGGGAAAATGGGTGTTGAGCCATACTGATATAAGTCAGCACATGAGTAAAGAACTATGGAGATAACTAAGCAGTATACTAAACACCAGGTCATCAATGAAGAGGACCAGGAGAATTATAACACATAACCTATTACAGCAGTAAGTGATTAACTAACTTTCACAAATATATCCAGGGACATATTTGCACAAGCATGAGTATATACACAACACACACTAACAATTGTCAATGTAAATACAGAGCTCTCACCTCGAAGGAAAATGAGAGAGTTCATTCTGGAGTCAAATATCTGTGAGTAAACATGAGTGGGACAGGTTTATGTTAGTAAAAATTGCATGTTACAATGTGTAAACAGTTTCATGAAGTTTTTATAGTAACAGAATGAAGAAACTATAGACTCTCCTTATGTACATTGGTGATAATATTAAGTAGAGTATTATGGTAAAGCAGAGAAACCTCAGGTACAGGCACTAGCTGCTATGTGATGACACACAGTCCTTTGACAGCTAGAAAATTAAAGCCTTGTTAAGGAGACATGTTCTGATATTTCAAATGTCAGGTCCAACGTCATCTGTTAGTGACAAGGTGTTAGGAAATTCCAGCACAGGGGGCCCAAGGAGTGGCTACTCATGGGCTCAAGAGAACACAAAAGAAATTGTAATTAGGCCCTGGGACTGTGACTTCCACCATCTCCATATCACTGCACGTCTAAGAGTCAATCAACCAGTCTTTGCAGACCAGCCTCTGCCAAGGAATTTCTGTACACACACACACACACACAGACACACACACAAACACACACACACACAAGACAACTTTCATTCTCACTCTCCCAGCTCCCTGGTGTTTACTGAGAGCTCAAGGGGTACAACCACGTTACAACAGATTCATCTCTGACCACACATGGGATGGTGAGAGCTACTACCATATGTGGTTAAATGAGATTCCTGTGACGATGGTCATGGACTTGTCTCTGGGACATTTCTCTCATTTGTTTCAGACTGTCAATAATAACCTGTAAATGCCGATAAGAAAATAGGGACAAGCTGCATTACACATCAAATAAAGTTTTCATCATGGGATAATCCATGCTTTCAACAAAAAATATCTTTTGTAAGTTTCATTGACACGGTTTTGACAGTTTACATAAGATTTAATAATTTGTTCACAGAAAAAAATACGTATGAATTGTGTTTAAAAAATAATACCAGTTATAGATGAATCAAAATGTACAAATATTTGTGCAAAATCCCGACAGATAGATCCATAGTGCTGATAGGCTAAAAGATTTCCAAACATTGCTGAATTGGAGACAACCTGTCTTAATGAAGACAACTATGTTCACGGCTCAAACAATTCATTATTAGTAAGATGTCTGTTGACTCAAAACTGAGCTATAGATTCAATACACTAGCAATAAAATGGCAGTTATTCTTTTTACAAATTGAGTGGATAACTCTAAAAATTGTAGATTAAATACATAGCTTATGGAAAAACCTTAGAAACAGACTAATGTTAGAGAAAAGCATTGCCTGATAGGAGACCTCTGTTTGAACCTACAGTAAATGGACCAGCATGTTATTAAATCAAAGTTGGTAAGAAAAAGTCCAAAACCAGCAGTCCACGCTCACATCCACACATTTACAGACCACTGCCTATACCAAGTCAACATTTTCCCTGTATCTGATGCCGGAATCAAGCTTGTGTGTAGTGCCTGTAGGGTGTGCTGAGAAGAACTGACCATACTCCTGCTGCAGCCTCCCAGGCACTGGGATTACTGGCATATATACCATGATTAGATTATTGGAGAACTATTTTCACAAAAAAACAAAGCAATTTGATGCATAAAGATGGCCTTTTAGGAAGCAATGCTGAGGCAAGTGTATATCCAAACCCACAAATATAAACCAGGACCTACATCGTATCATATGTGAAGACCATTCAAAATAAATTACAGATGTAAAAATATAAAAATCAGCCTATAAATGTCAAACAGAACACAAGAAGAAAATCCCTTTCACAGGGTGCCAGGCAAAGATTTCGCAGACAAGACACCAAATAAAAACCGTAATTGAAGAAGTAGAGAAGGTGGGATCTTACAATTTAAAATCTCCTGCTCTTCCAAAGACATGGATGAGAATTGACATGATAAGTCTGAGGCTGGGAGAAAATTTAGAAATACATATATCTGATAAAGCATTTCTATGAAACATAAACAAAACCTCAAATGTCAGTCAGAAAGTAGTAATTGAGACCTGTGAAAGATTTCGGGTGTGCTTTTCAAGGGGGCATTGATAGGATCGCCCCTTTATAGAGATTCATTAGAGATATTAAGGCCATAGGCAGCGTTGCAGGGATTCTGAGGAGAGATCAGGGCCACCTGGCAGGGTGGGCCCCACGAAAATGGAAATTTAAATGCCAGACTAGTGCCAAGCACAACGTGTCCCACACCTGCCACCCCTTCACGAGGCAGCCAAGGCAGGAGAATCACTGAGAGTTCTGAGCCAGGGTAGGACACAGTGAAATGCTGTCTCAAATCCAAACAAAACCGCAGATTACTAAAAAGAAACTCCTCTAACCAAGTGCGCATTTTAGTATCATCTGAGACAGGAAGGGAAATTTTGGACTAGCATTGAGGCTTTCCCTCTTAAACCTCACTGGTCCTATGGGCAAGCAATCTCATGGCTTTTCACAGAGAGGGACATGTACAGACAGGGCCGGGGAGGGGGGGAAGGGGGCTAGTGGAGAGGAAGGTGCTTGCTGGTCATCCAGTAGTAATTTAAGCTGGGAATAAATAGCTGAATATTAACTCATTCGAATAATATTAAAACTGTTCAAATAGAAAACAATTGCTTTCTTTTCTGTTTGCCCAGAGATCTGACTGACTGCAACTTGGAAAGAAGACAGCCTTGCTATCTCCCTTCCCTCTGAAATCTCACATCCTATGGGCGAGCAATCTCATGCACAGAGTGGGAAGTCGGGATCACAGAGTGCTCATTTGGCCTCATCTCCGTCCTGCTCACTCTCCCACAACTCCCCTCCTGGACAATGGCTCCAGCACACCCCGGTACAGAACAGCACAGGAGGAGGCAGAATGGTCCCAAGTCTGTCTCCTTCCGGAGATACACAGGCTGCAAACCCCGAGGTAGGAGTGGGCCTACTTTCGTCTGGAATCCCTGCATCTTCCTCCCAACTTTCAAGAAGAATCTGGTGCTCACCTCCGGGAATCCATAAGCTCAACTCAGTCCAAATACCAGGAACTGAATGCTGCTTTCAGGACATCGTCGGGTTGCCATTTGAAAATGGTCGCCATAATAGCCCCGGTTTCTATGACAACCGCAATGCTGCCTCCCTGGTAGTAACCAGGAATGGCTCCGCCCAGCCCTCCCTTTCTTTCTGTCAGAGCAGGAACTCTTCACCCTTGTTTTCACCCAAGAAAGCATACCCATTAGAGAAACTGTCCCCACTACAAATGCAGAGCTTTCCTGTTTTGTTCGATCTGTGAACACAACATATCCCTGGAAGCATGCCCACGTTCTATTAACCAGACCATGGCGGTGTCTGTGGAAATGTCCTCACAAAGATGAACATTGCTGTCACGGTGATAAACGAACAATTTCATCCAATAATTAGCTATGCATATATGACCTCATCACGGGAATTTAAAGTATGGGACACCTTGCACAGAAACATCCTGAAAAAGAAAAGTCAAAGGTTAAAAGTATTGTGTTGGAGATGCCGGGGATCGAACCCGGGGCCTCATATATGCGAAAACATGTGCTCTACCTCTGAGCTATGTCTCCACACCTGGTAACAGCTTCATCAAAGCCTATGTGAATTCAGCGTGACCGAGCCAACATTCAGAGACTGCAAGAGTCTGCATCCGGTCCTTTGAGCATATTGGATTCCAGCTTAAGTTTAGTGTTTTGATAGCATTCTTGGGACATTTGTTGCATGAGAAAACAATCCATTTTCAATCAAAGAAAAAATAATAACAACAACAATAATAACAACAAAACTTATGCTTTGAAGCAAGGTAAGCTAACAATGAATGATACTTTGAATTACTCAGTCCCATCAATTTTACTTCAACTTTACCTTGCAGGTGGTTCAACATGCCAGTATCATGCGGAATTAATAATTATATGTTGTTGATATGCGGTCTTATCTGAGAGTTTGAATATCTTCCTGAAACCCTCTCTAGCATACCTCCTTTCTCTTTTAAAACACACCTTAGTTTCAGGGCTTGAAAGGCATTTTATAATCTTGATCAGGCTGGTCATTTTGTTTCTTAACGTTGCCAATACTGTCCATCAATTCATTCATGGCAATAACTAAATGTGCAGTAGCTATTGGTTCACAAAACCCTAAGGTGCTCTCACTTTCTTCATGTTTATGTATATCACCGCACACTTTGTGAGTTTCAAAAATGAGAGTTTTTCTGAAATATGTCTCCCTTTTCACACATCATCTAGTATATGTATGTTCAGATGAGTGAAAAATGAGAGTATTTTTTTAAAAGAAATCAATCTACCTTTTTTCATTTACATACCAATCCAAGTTTCTATCCCCTCCCCTCCGCTCATTCCCTCCACTTACCCTTCTACCAAACCTTTATCCACTCCTCAGAGAGGGTAAGGCACATTGCCCAGAGGAAGGACCAAGGCCCTCCCCACTATATCCAGGCTGAGCAAGGTATCCATCCAAAGATAATGGTTTCCAAAAAGTCAGCAGCAGCACCAGTGATAAATCCTCATGTCACTGCCAGTGGCCCTGCAGTCTGCCCCAGCCATAAACTGTCACCCACATTCTGAGGGTCCAGCTTGGGCCTATGCTGGGTTCTTCCCTGTCTGGCCAGAGTTGGTGAGCTCACATCAGCTCAAGTAAACTGTTTCAGTGGGTGTCCGCATCCTGGTCTTGACCTCTTTGCTATATTCTCACACTTCAACTGGAAAAAAATAATATATAGTACCTGAGACGATGCCAGACGATAGAAGACTGAGTCCACACTTAAGACATTGCTTAACCTCAACAATTATTGGAATACTACAAAGAATGATATCAAAACAGGGCTTTAATATATAACTTCTAGATAAAGACAAGGAGGAATGGCAAACAGGTGAGCTAGTGTAGGAGACTGAGAGCTACCTAAATTAAATGAAGACAAAAGCAAAAAGAGAGGGATGGAGGGATTGGAATCAAAAGGTAAATGAGGGCGACGGAAGAAGCAATAACATCTCAGTGCTGATTGTGGTCTAGGTTTGAGATGTTGGTGGATAAGTACTGATAATCAAATGACCTAGAAGTAACAAAATATGAGTCAGTGTATCTCTGTGAGCCATGACCCTTTTGTGTTATCTTTCTTTCAGGGAATCTTCCTTCCATTTTTGTTCATAATAGATTTTCCCCGTAATCTATCCTGATTATAATTTCCCTTCACTCTACTCCTTCCAGTTCCGCTCCACCTTCCCTTCTATCAGAATCCATTCTGTTTCTATCTCTCAGTAGATAATAACAGGCTTCTAAGAGATAACAGCAAAGCACAACAAAATAAATTAGAATAAGACTTTAAATCACAATTATCAAATTGAAATTGGATGAGGCAAATGAACAGGTGTAAAAGAGCCCACAAGAAGACCCAAGAATCAGAGACCCACTTGTTCACACACTCAACAGCCCCACAAAAATACAAATAAAAGTTCTCCTAAAATACTGAAAGAGATAATATACACATTGAAGACCTGGTACAGACCCATGCCTACCTCATGGTTGCTTCTTTGTTCTCTTTGAGTTTCTGGGAGTTGATTTAGAGGAACCTGTACTCCAGATGGTAATCAATCTACCTCAAATTCCAAATGAAGCTCTTTTGTTATATACTCCAAGGACACTTCAGCCTACCACCAGTACACTTCCATGTGATAGTTGTACTTTATCTTATTCTAATTAATTTTGTTATTTTTTATCTCTTACTAGCCCTTGTTTTCTAATGAAAATCAGCCAGGAGGTGGATCTGGATGGCATGGGTGGAAGGAAGGAACTGGGGAGGTTAAAGGGACAGGAAACTCTAATCAGAATATATTGTACAAGAAAAATATGTCTTTAAAACATAGGGGGGAATAAGAAATCTATCATGATATCATGCTTCTAATACAACCTTGCTGTACATCTGTTCCTGCACACAGGAAAGGCCTCTGGGGCTGTGGTCCTCCCTTCTCACATCGCTTTCACTCAAAGCAAAAGGCCTTCCTTAGAAGGCTACCAACTGAGAAGCAGAACTAGCCTAGGTGGGGACTCAGACAATTGGCAGAACTCACTTTTGGAAATAAGCTATCTCCTGTCAGGAATTTTTGTATTATAGCAGTGAGTTTAGGATCTTCCATGAAGACATAGCTAGGGATATACAGTAGGACTCTGGAATATAAGGTAACTCTTTTCAGAGGAATGTCTAAGATGGGCCATCCACCTATGGCAGAAAACTACAAGATTTTTCTCCAAAACATTG